TAGTAGTAGTAGTAGTAGTAGTAGTAGTAGTAGTAGTAGTAGTAGTAGATGTGCGCGGCATGTACCCCATTCCCTCTTCCCCGCCAGTTATGGTCCGGTGTCATTAGAAAACCAAGTGTACCGGGAGCGTGATCCGGCACAGTGGCGGAAAGTGCTACAGACAGACAATGAGTACTACAAATAACCTGACGCCGAATCGTTACACCAGGTCCCTACAGACAAGGTGTGGTTACGTTCAGAGATCGCGTGCATGAGCTTGTCATGAAGACCGCATTAAGAGATAGTCCTAAGCTGCCTGTGTGTTCGCTGTTCAAAAATAAATCTTCTGAAGCAAACTCTGTGCGTTCGTATAAAGAAGGCAGAGCTTCACCTGTATAGATTTCTGAGCGACTTGTGAGTCCGTGTATCCGGATTATTTGCCATAGCGCTGGGTTAAAGGAAATCACTGTGTTGCTGAAACACATGATGCGTAGACTGAAGAATATCATTTCTGATGAAAGAGCATGACGAACGAAGATTAATACGGAGAGGGAGATGTAAGCGTGCTATATAGATTTAGAAGCACTTCTAGTAAGTGACTAAATTCCGAATCCTAGTTTGTCTATTCTCAAAATCCTGGAGAAAATTGCTTCGAAGGATGAGAGAAATACCGAGAAAAAGTAAGCGGATGAAGGCGTTGGAATTTTTTGCATGAACAAATCATGACCAAGTAAGTATTGCTGTGTTGTATACTGTATGGGGCCTCATATATACGGCCGATGTTTGTGCTGTAGGATGACGCATCGATATAATTGAATCAACAGCAGGCGTTAGGACAAGAGACGGGGTACCGATCATCAATACTGCGCTTTGGTTATTCAAATTTTAGCCATATAACATAAAATTTAAAAATCGGTGGGAATAAAACGAAAGGACGCCCAAGGAACTGAAATTAATGAGTTGTTTTTTATAATTTTATTGCACTTATGCTTGCGGCATTAACAAATAGGAGTATTATTTAAGTTTTATTAGACTACAGACTTGTTGCTGATCAATAGGACTTTATTTTGGTCTTTTTGTTCTTTTTGCAGACTTTTCCTCTAAATGTTTAGTTATGTAAAACATTTGCGAACGAATTTATTACTTTATCACGTATTAGACACCCGTTACCTGCCGTTTGTTTCATTCGTTGGTTTATATTACGATCTTCCAGCTGTATTTGGCATGCTTTTTTTTCACGTTACTTTTGTTTGACCTGACTACTCATCGTTATATGTCTTGGGTTCTGGTTGTGTCGCTGTGCTTTGGTTATTTGACGAGCGTCCAGTCAGTGAAAGGTTGCCTGCATAATCGTCATGCGCTGAACCCTCTTCGTCTTATAATGGACTTGATGGCCTTCCGTGCGATCTTTAATGAGAGACAGGTGCATTTTTGCTTATGTTAAGCTGAATAAATTCTTGTTTCAGCGACCGCTGTGCGTGGTGCACCGCGCAGTGATAAATATAATATTAGCTCATGCACAAAGACATACCATGATATTCGTTTGCAAAACGCAGCAACACCAAATAAACTTATATACCATTCGCTTTTGTACATGTCAACAAGCTTTGTTTTGACTGCAGGAGAGGAATTTCTCCAGGTTTTAGCCGTTCCTCTATATCAATTGTCAGTTAATAGAACTCAGCCATCACTCACCTGCATTGCTTAAATACCTCGCAAGTCACAGGGGCAATTTTTAAAGGTCTCCTGACAGCAATACACCATTGTACGATGTTGGCTAAAATGCCTCTTGTTGGTTATGATATGTGTAACCGCACTGTTGGAAGACGGTATAAGAAAACCAGTCTGACGGTTGCATTACGTGCTGTTGTTTTCACGTCTTCTGCTGTGAAGTATCTCATTGGCGTCAATATTGATTGTTCTTAATGGGCGCACGCGTAGTCGAGTACCATATCATGTCCCTTCAAGTTTCCTTCTTTCGCTATTGGTTATGAGATTTGACTATCATAGGTTGAAGTTTAACGGACTGACAGTCGGTAGTCTAGAAGTTCTGGCACGTTCACGGCCCTAAGGCCACTATCTGCTGAAAATCAGAATTCAGCTCCACGGCGTATTCAGAAGCCTTATTTCTGGACAGTTCTTAAACTTTTATACCTATATGATTAATCGTATTTCCCATGGGACGGACATTGAAAGGCCATTTGGTTTTGTATACGAAGATTGTCTAAGGGTTGTGTACTCACAAACTCATTTCACTCCGGCTTCCTATCCAACCAAACCTAAGCCGGGTTCATTCAGTATCAGTCAGTTGTTTATGTTTAATATTTATCAGTCAGTTGTTTATGTTTAACATTTAACAGGGCATTTACGCGTTCTTCCGCCCTAAACCGTACCTGTTCACCCTTTTCGTCGTACAAGTAATATATTGAAGTCCGCTTTCACGTTGCAAACGGGAAGAGAAAATGCTCTCATTGTAGCACATGTGTCTGACTAACAAATTTTCTCGCCGTTTTGTTACTATATATCCTCTGCCCGTAATCTGCTGATAATAGCTCGCTGTTATATGCCTTTTTAATCGTCGCGTGACATCAGTTTTTAATTCGTCCAGTATATGTGCTACCTACTATCTTATTTCACATGCCTTCTGTGCCCTGATCGTTTGCCAACCTTTTTTGTTTCATTGAATAGCATGATAACTTTGAACTTATGGTAATGAAGTCTGACGTAGAAAACATTCATTTTCTAATTTGTACAGGCTCTGCAGTAGATCTAGATGTCCGTCGATTTGTCCTATGTAATTATTTACCTCCCAATAATCATCCCTACAACGTTTACAGATGAGTTTCAAGTGCTGCATCAAAATATCCACTGCCTGAACTCACAAGAAAAACTTATCTTAGAAAACAACCATGTTAAATTTTAGTCAAAATTTTTTTTCGAAATAAGATTAGTACATGGTTTGACGTTTTAAAAGGCGAATTAGCTACTCCCGTGGCCCGAAAACATGACTTCAAATAAGACGATAAGCGGAAAGAACACTAAATATCTGATAATTAGTGCGCAGCTTCGAGGAGGATCATGATTGCGTGGGTCACACTGGTGACTTAAGCATGAATTGATGGGGGAGACAACTAGCTTTACTAGTTCCTACTCGCACACGCATGTGGCAAGAGTGAGTGAAGGAAACTAGGTATGTAACTAGGCGCAGTCGCCAGACAGGCATTTCGTCGTTATTGACGTGCCACACTGTACCACAGCGGTCCAACTGACCCGTCTAGTAGACATAGTCTGGTGATCTTAACAAGTGAACCGTGCACTACTTGCTTGGGAACCAGTCAGTAAGCTGATGATCTACGTGCGACCGAAGGTTCACTTCAGAAATATATATCCGTCGGCCCTGTAGGCGCCATCCCAGCTGCCAACAGCGCAATGAAAAGACCTTGCTGTCATCTACTGATCGCTGTCGGAAACAGCAATGACTGGACTGGATCTGACTACTCCTTATACAGTCATCTTATTAGCTTATTCGGATTTTGCTCTCAATTATGCCGCAATGCCGAACTTCGTTGACTAAAACCGGCTGTTTGTCACCAAAACATGCTTTCGGCATCACCACAAAAATATTTTAACTTGATCTGCGAAAGAAAGTGATACAGCCAGTCAGATCAACTGCATTTTAGGCAATGTAAAGTTCCGCAGCTGGGTTCACGATAGCAGATCAAGGCGCGGTAACTTAACTTGTACCACTCACTAATCGGGCCATTTTCTCGTTAGAACACAGTTGAAAATCCACATCCACAATGCCGTAATGTCGCAATGCAACCCAGTGCCGTCGAGGTCCCGAGCGGACAAGCTGGGAGCAAGGTAGGTGAGGGAAAGGGAGTGCGATACGGGCTAAGCCCACTTAGTTGGAAGCCATCGCTTGCGACAGTCTAACTGCAATAAATTAATAATGATTTACAAAACTTAATGTCTCATGCGATCCAGGTAGTCAAATATAGTCGGGTTTTTCCATCATCATGACGGCAGCCAGCACATGTCGATACATCAAGTATGCAGCATTGCGGAGCTTTACTGATTAAAGCCGGCTGTTTGTCACCAAAACATGCTTTTGACATCGTCGCAAACATCTTTTGACTTGATATGCAAAAGACGGCAGCCAGCACATGTGCTGGTTACAGCAGATGGCCCTCTTTATTTTTGGTCACAATTTCAAATATGGCTTGCGCCAACCTGACAGTAAGGGCGCCATCATCGTCCGGTTCGATATGGTTCGTAATTTTTTTTTTAAAACTGTCAAAGGTGTCTATGAACCTATCGCGGCATTCTTATAGTCCCGCGTACCTAAAATTCGTGCAGTCAGTCCTCCTATATCGTCTGTGTGTGAAGGACGAGCAAAAAACGGAGGGTATCAACCAGCGTTATTTGACAGCGGCCCTTCGGTCGAACTGTAGAATATACAGTCCACCCTCTATGAAAGCATGTTGAGGACGTCCTCTAGAAAGTGCGAGTGATTTAACCTAACCACATTTTCTTCTCTGCCTGCCTTACGAGTTTAGTGTTACCGTTTCAAGTTTGATCTCAATCTGAGAGGCGGCGAATAGGTTACCCTAAAACTCACTTCACATACTCCTTCAAGTTACCAAAGTGGTTTTTTGCTGAAACGGCTCAAACTCTTCGGACCCACCGAACGTAGTTAAGTGTTGGCACTCGTTGATGAACGTTCAGTGATCGCTAACGGAACTCACTCGTGCCGCTCCGCCTTGGGCTGATTCTCGAGTCCCGCCAGCAGTCTAACAGTTGCAGGTAGTTTAGGCAAAAATCATCCCCGTGCCTCAATGGTTAGAGCGTTCGACTTCTAATAAAGGGGTCGCGAGTTCGAGCCTCGGGTGGTTCTTTGCTCGAACGGATCAAATTCTTTGGACCCGTCAAACATAGGTAAGTGTCACCCGCGACAGGTTTGAGCATGACCAGTCAGGCATGATCACATGCTTATCAAATACTAGAAGTCTGCCTGAGGAGGCAGTGGTAACTTGCATGAAAATATAATTCCAATGAACGGCTCTTGCAAAGCATCTATCTCACATTTCCGTTCTCTCCTCCCAATCACTATGCTATAATACAAGGCAAAGTTGGACCAGTCGCGTATGGGTGTGTGCTCCGTCGCCGACGAAGCTAGGCAAACATCTGCCGTCGCACGTCACATGTGTTTACCAGGTGATTTAAAAAAGATTGTTTTGGCATTCCCAAATCCTGAAATCGTTACTGTTAATCGTCTATTCAAGGAATTGTTTGGTGTACAAAGCCGTTGAAAAGTCTGTAGACCAAATATACTGCTTTAGTAGCTGTTTTTTTCTGCCGTTATTGTCCTTGGTTAGTGAAAAGCATACGTTCATTACCTTGTTGTATGTCACACAATGTTTTTGTGCCTTATAGTCATCTTCCCGCCTACTGGACCTCATCCCACCACAAAAGGCTGCCGAGTTGCTGCCGATCCTAAAGGCTCACTTTCCAGAATACGTGCAATTTGAAAGCCCAGAAAATCTCTTCCCACTTACAGTTGAGGCGAACTCTGATGTAACCTCAAATTCCAGCGTTACTTTTTCAGCATCGGCCATATATTTCTTGTGCGCTCAATCGCTTCAATGGATCCTCCAGATCGCCCTGGTCAAACTTGTACTTCCCCCCTCTTGATGGTGAGGCTCCTCTGCCCGGTGACAACCTGCGAAAGCTCGAAGTCCTTGCCAATGCGGCCCTGGAGCACTACGTGAAATTGTAGGCTCTTCAATCCCTCTCTTCTGACTTGCACCTTTGCAAAACTTTTAGGTACTACTCTTCTGCTTTGCTATCGGCCTACTGTATGGCAAGGAAACATGGTTTCATGGTGTGCGTACTCATTAAATCGCCATCAGTGGAGATAGCTCATATCATATTCATTACAGTACGTACAACGTATTATTTTTTCTTGCCCCTCCCCCCTTTCAGCTGCCTATTCTTTTGCATATGCATCTTTAAACGAGATGCTCTCAACTTAGGGTCAGATTGAAGTGGCTCCTTCTTAACGTAACCCTACGGTGGGTTACAACGGTGCAAGATCCAGTTAGATGACGTCTGATTAATGGCGGGCTGATGAATCAACGCTCGTCTAGCCCCCTGAAATGGGACTACTGTCTGTTTAGTCAGTGTGTTCATGTCTGTACGCAGTCGCCCCCTGCCGCCGGTTAGCCATTTGGGTATGATGGCTGGAGCAGGAAATAAAACATCAAGTGGAGGCTGCTAAGATCACCATCGCCTCCATATGCGGTAGGGGTACTCGTTACTTCCAAGGATAAATTATCCTGTTGGTTCTCCTATAGATGTCTTAAGTCCGTCTCTCTTGTCAGACTGGATGTCTCTTCACTGTGCTAGCCTCGATGTTTATTTCATTCTCATGTTTCGGTTGAGTCTTTTTGCGTGTGTGTACAGCCCCTCCTGACCTGAGAAAGCTGTTTGGAAAATGTGTAGTGGTGGTCAACTGTTTGCGAATTTTAACGCGTCTGTCTCAACAGGTTTTATTTTTTTGCTCCCGGCCACAGGAAAAATTAGTTCTACGCCAAGCGGACTACATACAATCAGCGGCCTACCTCGTGCATTTTGATAGGGCTGACTTCGCCCAGAACAATGACAATGAGCATTTATCTTTGGGTTTCTTCCATAAACAAGAACATCAGGAGGAAGCACAGTTGTCCTCCAACGCCACCGAATCCCACGTCGCGAACATTGGCCGTATAATTGAGGTATTTCATTTTCGTCGATGTAGTTCGAAATTGCTATTTTACCATTTTCAACGAGCCGGGCCTTTTGCGGGTTAACTCAGTAATCTAGTTAAGGATTGTCAGGCCTTCTGGTAGTCTATTTCCGTACGAAAGCAGACCCCTTTGCATGTCGCCAGCCGCCCTGCTAACTTTCCAAATGACTACAGCCTTTGGTATGACTATCTTTAGAGGTCCTTTTTGCCTTTGACATATAATAATAATAACATTTTCGGTAGCCCGACTTTCCCCTGTTTCGTTAAATTCCGCCAATGTAAGGTCCAATTTCCCTCAGTAGGCCTCATTTGTCTTAGCAACAGGAGTTTATGTTGATGGAGTTGATTATCTTTAGCTCATTAAAACAAATGTAACTGGCTTCAATTTAATATTCTTTAATCACTTTTAACTAAGAATGACGTGTTTAACTACCACTTCCGTAAGACATTTGGGCGGTGAAATAGATATTTAAGTGGCCCTACAGGACAGGCTTTGTACCTGCGTTCTAGATTTATAGGCTTACCCAGGCTTAATGTGTATGCGCAGCCTATTAAACTCTCTGTAGACCATTTTAGTGCGATTGGAAATAGCTTTTTGACTAGTAGGGCGTTTTGGTAGATTTTAATAACTTTCTTGACTCACTCGTGGAAAACTCGTTTGCCTTGGTGGGATTCGAACCCACCTCAGCAAGAAGAAGGCCACTGCTCTAGCCAACTGAACTATGAGGCCCACACCAAAAGCCGTGAGTTTAGTCACACTTGGGGTCAAGTCCCCCGTCTGGCCTACCGCAACGTATGGAATCCACTAATTCTCATACAGTAAGCCGACTGTTCAAGTAGGATTTCCTCAGTAATCAATCCAGATGACTACCAGATACACTTAATTAGTAGGAGGTTTTGGCCAGATTTTAGTAATTCATTTGGTTCCCTGTGGCTTCATAGCTCAGTTGGCTAGAGCGTTGGCAGCACTAGAGCCATTCCCTCACTGGAATGTCTTCGAATCTCGCCGAGACCGCCGGGGTTTTCGCAATTGGATCAAATGAACTGTTGGATTGTTAAAACGTCAGCAGTGCTTAGGGCAGACTATTTCGACAAAACATCTCCAGCAGTACGGAGTCGAAGCTGTCCTTATATCGCGTGTATTGGTAGCTACGCCTGCCGGTTGTACGAACAAATCGCTATTCCGTTTCTCTTGGCTTGGAAGGATGGCCAATGCATGGTCGAAGAAAGTACAGTAGGTAGCTTGTCTCATAAAAGGTTAGCCGAAATTGCTAAATGTTAGTAGATAGGCGTACACTGATCAGATACAGGGCACGCCTGCCTTAGTTTTTGATGTGCAGTGGGTTCGGGAACCCCCGAACCTTTGCCATATGGCTAAATATAATGTTACTCACTAAGTTTCAGTAACATTTTTGTTATTTGTAGGACATTTTACCGTAAGACAGAGACTCCTGGAAGGCATTTTCTGGCTTATTCGCCATCATCAGCAGGAGACACTCTACTCCAGTGTAGCAGCGGAAATTGCCGCCACTCTCGAGTTTCGAACCCGCGTCTCTC